TCGTTCTGCTGTGCATGGGGTCGCTATGAGTCGGTTCCGACTTGATGGCACCTGACAACTGACAACAACAACATGAGGTGCTAAAGCAATGTGTTGTGATCTGGAAATTCTAAAGTCCATTTGATGAATAAGAAAGTAATGAGCCTGCTTTTTATTAACAAGCATTAGGATAAAAAGAAGAAACAAGATCTCGTAGGAAGAGCTGATCATTGCTCTGTCTTACCTTAGTGTCTCCAGTGTCTTTATCCCTGTACAGAACTCCTGTCACAGCATCGTCTTCCTCTAGTAACTGCAGCACAATGCCTTCAATAAACTTTGTACTAACAGATAAAGAAAGAAACAAATCTCTATCATAGCAGACTTCATTTAAATTGGACATGACCAAGTCCTTTTCTTTAGTGAGCCTATCTATGTATCACATATAATTTTGCAAATATTACTAAAAAGCACAAACAAAAGCATTCAGTTTTAAGATTTAAAATTGAATTATCCCAATGATATTACTCCTGTGTCATTTCAATATAGAGGAAAGATGAAGCCAGCAGGAGGCATGAGGAGGAGTACAAGAGTTAAAGAGGTAAACACTGTTAGCTGATGTACATGGAGTGGATTGCAGTCACTGTAATCAAGCAAAGTATATGATATACTGAATGTAGAACTGATGATCTGCTCAATTCATAATAAAAAGTTTAAAAAACTGGACAAAGAATACTTACAAAGAGACAACCACAAATATCTATAAGATATTTGGAAAGATATACAACTTTACTGCTAATGATAAAATAGATATAAAAACTCAAAACTCTACCGAGAAAATTGATAAGGTTTAAAAGACTCAGCTTTGGCAAGAGTTCAGGAACAATAAAGGGCATTATCTTTTGATACTCAAGGGCCTAACTTAACAAAAGTCTGTGTTTAATAGTGATGATAACAGTATTATTTTTGCCTGCTTAAGTTAGCTGCCAGACAACACTAAGTCCCTTCACCTATATTATCTCATGTACTTCTCACAGCCATTTTGGGTAGGCCTATATTCCCATTTTTCAGAGAAGAGCACAAAGACAAAGGCTCAGAGGTACAAAGTAACTCCCTGAAAGGTTATAAAACTTGTAAATGACATATACAACTGCACCATTCAATCAGCTTCAGAAACTGTTGTCCAACAACCCTAGTTGTAGAGCTGTGTCAACCTTGACATATTAGGATATTCAATACAACAGTATTTCAATCAGTTCAATACACAAATTATAGCTCATCCATAGCAAGAAATACCATACACTATAAAAAATCGTGCTCTTAAAAATGCTATATATTCATTTATTTGTATGAACACATGTATGCACAGAAAAGGGACTGCAATGATAAAAAGCAAAATAACACCATTAATGAGTTTTAGAATTATGAGTGGCTGTTATTTTCTAATTTATCAACAATATATTTTGAAAGGGCTTCAAAAAGTTTGTGGGAAAATGGAATTAAAAGATAACTGAATTTTTCCAGGAAGTTTTTGAAGTTCTTGTTACTAACAACAGAGTTTTTTTTTTTTTTTAAATCAATTTTTATCTGAATTCATTAAAAATATACATGGAAAGCAATTTTACACACTGAAATATACACAAAGAAAAAGAACTGACATTTATTAAGCAACTTATTAACAGTAGTTACTTGTAGTTAGAAGAGTCATGGGATAATTTTTTTATAATCTTTATATTTTGGCAGATTTTCAAATATTTCTACAATGAAATCACTCTATCTATGTCCATGGATATCATGTCCTTTCAGCCCTAAGGATAATTATTTCTTCACTTGCTTTGTCAACACTTAACTTAAGCTGATGCCAATTACATGAGGGTTCTCATGCTTACATTTTGTTAGTTCTAATGATTAAGGGCTGGAGGCAAGTATAAACTAATAATCCAGAGAACACGCCAGTCCGGTCAGACAAGGTTCTGTGTAAGAATGGGACAGGAATCCGGTTTGAGGGGTGGGGAAAGCAGAGACAGACAATGAAAACTCCTCTGCCAAACCCAAAAAAGGCAGAAAAAGAGCAGTCTGCAAAAAAACTGCAGAGCTTTGGATGTTGCTTAAGGTTCCGGGCCCCAGTTCCCCACGCCCTTGAGAAGAAATCTGCAGGTGAAAGCAAAGCACAGTGATTTCTGAATTGACCCAGCTGCGGGAGCAGTCCTCAGGCCAGAGGGCGGGGCCACAGCCAAGCTGAGGCCTTGGAGCGCATCCGAAGGAAGAGGTGTTTTTCATCTTTCACTTTTCATTTTTCACGTATCTCTCCTCTTCACGTATCTCTCCTCTTCACACCTATCGAGCCCTCAATGCACAGCGCAGACGCCTTCAGGCAGGCAGGAGCACACCGCCAAAAGGGTCCAGCATTGCACCCACAGTTTTCCAAAGGCACAGAGAGAAACCTACAGGCTGCTGCTTATGACGTTTTGACCCTGAGAACCCGCCCCATAGTTTACCTAAGTGGGACCCTTTGCACAGCAAAGGCCAGTGAACAGTGTCAATCACAATGTTATTTTTGTTTCTAATTGGTTGTTTCTGTCTCTGCTTTTATATTGTTTCTGTCTTTGGTCCTTTTGGCCTCACTCTTCTCCCAGTGGTGGGCATTTTCTCCCAATATCTTACCCAAGAGGAAACAGCAACTGTGCCCATATAGCATATAGCCAAGCTACAAGCATACCCTGAGTACCCCACCATCTGGACAAGAGCCAAAACCAGCTGCCAGGCATTACATGTGAAAAGGGAAGCCTATCTCCAGATCATATCCACCAGGATAAGCAAGCTTAACAAAAAGCAACATACATCCATTTAAGCATTAACAACTGCCATAACTGTTGAGAATGATCAAGAAAACACAATTAAAGATATAAGCACATGTCCAAAAACAGAAAAAATTACCTGAGACAAATAAGCTGGAAGCAGACATAGACTTTTCAGTAGAAGAGCAGGCTCTGGATCTGCCTGAGAAGGAATTCAGAAGAATGATATGGAAACAAATTCAAATGCTCCGAAAAGGGGTGGAGGAAAATAAGAAGTCAGGAAAGTGCTATGGAAGCAATCAAACAAGATAGATATAGCATTGGAAACAATCCAAAACCTGCAAAAAGAAGTACAGATGATTAATAATAAAATATCCAAAATGGACGATACACTGAAAGGCCAAAGGAGCAGAATGGAAGAGATGGAAGCCAGAACCAGCGACATGGAAGACAAATCTCTCAATATAGCTAAGATAGGAGAGCAAGCAGAAAAAGGATTAAAAAATCTGAAGAGAGTCTAAGATTCATGCTGGATAACATGAAGAGGAATAACTTAAGAATTATTGGCATTCCAGAACAGGAGGAATCACAGAAGTCCACAGAAGAGACAGTTGAAGAGCTACTGGAAAAAAATTTTCCTAACCTCTTGAAGGACGAGAAGCTAAACATTCAAGAAGCTGAAAAAACCCCAGGAAGGATAGACCTCAAAAGAAAATCACTGAAACATATCATAATCAAGCTCTCCAAAATCAAAGACAAGGAGAGAATCCTAAAAGTAGCCAGGGAAAAGAAGTGTCACCTACAAAGGCAAGCAAATCAGATTAAGCTATGACTTCTCAGCAGAAACCATGTAGGCAAGAAGGCAATAGGGAAACATATATAAAACCATAAAAGAAAAAAAACTGCCAACCAAGACCCATCTATCCAGCAAAACTGTCAATCAAATACGATGGTGCAATCACAACATTCCAGGATAAACAGAAGCTACGAGATTTTGTTAATGCCAATCCAGCGCTTCAAAACCTCTTAAAGGGAGTTCTTTGGAATGAAAACCAGTAATAACAGACAACAACTGGAGACTGAAAGACATGGCAACACCACCTAGAACTTGGTCGATGGATAGCAGAATTCAGAACGGAACAAAATTACAGCAATGAATTCAGAGGACCTGTGAGGCTAACCAAAGATCAAAAGATTAACAATATTAAAGGAAAAAATATAGGAACACAGATCCAAGTGAT